AGTCAAATCAAAAGATGATTCCTACAGAAAAAAGAGCGTCATTATATCGTTTGTTTGTTTTTCTCAGGTTAAAAAATCATCATTGAATTAAACAAGAAACAAATATTATTGATAAGATTATAAATAATTTTATTATTTTCATATATATATAAATCGATTTATTTTCATTGGTTAATGCTGATAACTAATGTAATCAGACAAGTGAACTTGATTTTCTATCTTTTGAATAAGAATGCAATTGTGTGATAATAATTAAGTCATTTTGATTGTGATCTACATCTGTTCCATATGCCGTCTTAAGAGTTTACCTTGGGTATATTTATATGATAAGATATCTACACGTTTCTCCTTATTTCTTCATGTTCATTATATGTGGGATTTTGCATCTTATGGACATCTTCCCATCGTGTTATCGCTGTATATAGTCATTCAATTGATAAAAATCGGAGAGAATAACATATAAAAAAAGTTTTAAGTGCAGGTTCTATAAAATAAGCTTACAATTTTATTACGAATAACATTCTGAAGACATTGACTTTGTGACTAATTAGTATCTGAATTATCAGACAATTTTTTCATCAGTATGATATAAACACTCATTTAGATAAGATATTATTGGAGTTTTTACTTTTGTTTACTTTGAAACTATTCCAGATCATTTTTCAATTCATTAGAGTTATTTAGAATGTCGATAAAAATCTTATAGTCTGTCCTTCTTATGTGTGTTTTTGTTATCTGATTTCATGCATATTTTCATATCTTCAAATAGTATTAATAATAAAGAGGCATTAGTTCTATATGAAAGAATTTCAGAAACAGTTAGAATTCTCTAAACCAAAAATGTATATGTGAACCGTGTCTCTATCTAATTTATTCATCGAAACTTTTTCAAGATAAATTGTAGTTCATCTTCTTCGTATTTTCTATTCAATTTATCCAAACAAAGTTACTAAAGATTTGAATCAGACTTGCTCGGTCTTCTTTGATTCATATCATTCTCGGTTACTTATTTATGACCTATAGGACTTCCAGTCGCAATACTGCAGGTAAGAACAACCTATCAAATAGTAGTGTGTAGTCTTGTTGTAAATACTGAAATACTGACAATGACTCATTCATACAATATCTACAATGGCATCGATGTTCACTGAAGCACTGATTGTATTAATATCTCGCATTTCTATTATCTGTCCATTTTTTATAACTCCGTCTATCCTGAAAATTTTAGTCATAACCAATAACACTTTATTGACAAAACTGTTATTGTTTTTTCATCATTCGTGAACAGTCACAATTCTTTGTTAAAGTCATTTACTAATACATCAGAAGAATTTTTGATAATGTCTTTTTTATGACTACTTTGTGGAGGAACTTTCTGGACACCCTTTGTGCTCTTTTTATAGCAGTGTACTCCAGGACATCATTAAATACTGGTGTCAGTGTGCTCTAACTACACTGAGTTGGTGGTCAATAAACTAGAACTGTACATGTCTAGTGTAAGATAATAATCCAAGATCGAGAGGAAAAGTATAATATTCATGAATTTTTCTGAAAAATCTGCAAATGATGAATTCGCGATAAACAGATGATTTTCTTTCTTATTTTATACGTATCATTTTACTACACTTTATAGTCTAATTACAGTGCACTTCCTTTGAAAATTTTCAAATTTTATAAAAACGAATTACATTTTAAAAAATGTAGAGCATAAAAAAGAAATATTTTCACAATTTGTAACTATGAAATCTTATGCTCTATTGTTTTCAATTTTCTTTGCTTCGATTATAATATGTAATTCATCTATGATCCTCATGCTAAAATGTGAAAAATTATAAACGATTGAACATTATTTTCGATAATATCATTTAGACCATTCTACAACAAATTTTATTTTATGAGAAACTTTGATTCAAATGAAATTTATTGTTCTATCAGCATATTTATTCGAAGATTCTTTCTGAAATTCTCTTTTCTAAATTGTATTACATTGCGATTATAAATACTTGATTATCTTTAAATTCTTTTCTGTTAGTTTAACAAATCTCATGTATCCCTTTCAGATCAGTAAAACAAGTGAATTTAACCTTGCTATTTTCTGCTACAGAATACACACAATATAAGTAGATCTTCAATTAAATAGTCAATTGATCTTTTTTTTTCTATCTCCTATTGAAGGAAATATGTTAGCAAAACTGTTCATTATTATTGTAATGATGATTGCAATTATGGGTGTGGGTCTCTATCAGAATCCTAGCGAAAAAGTTGTTCAAATAAGGATGTCCACCACGTTGTTTGTCAGAACCGTGCAATATTTGTAATTAGCTATATTCGTGTTGATTAATAATCTTGCATTGATTGTAATTCATTACAAAGTAAAAATATTGGATAGAAAATGTCACATATGAATGTGAATATTGGTCAATTATTTATTTTCACAAACATCATTGTATGAATGATTAGTAATCATAAACAAAGTAAAAGGATCGATGGCAACTATATATATCAGAGGCGGAATTCGTTTTGAATTAGATGCAAAATTACGGAATAATTTTCTTTTATTGAAAAATAAGTTCCAGTTTTTTTGTTTGCATTAAGAAAACAACATATGCGTGCTTTTTTTTCTATTAAATAGAGTATTCATTTTCACTTATTCATATGGTAATGTATGCATCAATGGCTGCTTCTGCGTCAATATCGGAAAATAATTTTCGAACGTAGTTTTATTAAGAAGCACAGTAATATATTAAATTTTTCGATTATTAAACTTCAAGAGAAAATAGCTTTTATTCTACTACAAGAAATACATGAGCTACAACATCCTGAATCTTTTTGTCTTGGAAAATAACTCAACAATATTTAACAATATCATATATTTATTCTTTATATATCATCTATGAACCACACAAAATTTGAAGACAAATAAATATCAACAAAAAAATATATTTCTCAAAAAGCATAAGCTTAAAGATTTTTACTTGTTTTCCTGGTCGGACCTTGTTAAGACAAACGAAATTTCTATAGAGAACATTTGTGAACTGTACAATTTTCTAGATTTAACCAGACTTCAACTCAAGTGGAACATAACTTAATATTTATATAAGATCAGTTCTTGAATTCTCATATTTTTCGATCTTTTAAAAACTCTTTAATTTTGTTTAAATCTCAACATTGTCTGACATGTTGATTTTATTGATGTACAGGAAATAAATTAAGATACTTTGTCACGTTACAAGTCAGAAAGATGCTTCAAACAACTACGATATACAGTATTCAATTACAAAGAAACTAAAATCGCTTTTATTCCACTTGAAATCTTTCTCATGAACATGAAATTGAATATGCTAAAGTCTTCACGAGTATGTGAAGAACACATACAGTAACATTAAATCTTGATAATTACTTTCGAAAGATTACGAATGAACCTTTAAAAATGGTAAGATTAGCTTTGCTTTCTAAATTTATCTCGAACTCAAATTAATAATGAATTATTGAATTTTGATATAAGATTTTTTTCTAATATTTTGGAACTCATTTGCAATCTTTCTATTCTTCTTTTTCTTCGAGTAATTCTTTAATAAAATGATTATTTTCATAGTTTATTCCCAAATTTTTTTACTGAAAACTATACACCAATATTGAACAATATTTCTCAACATATAAATCATTCGTGTATTAGAAAAAACAATGCGATAATCAACTACTGCAGTGACACTTCCTATTAGTACAAATACATGGAATGAAATAAATATTTATTCGAAAATAATTATTCATCCTCTATTTGTCAATTATATACATATGTTGTTTTTATTTTTCTCGAATAAATTCAATAAAACCAAAACTATTCGATTTAAAAACAAATCAATGAAAACTATCAAATATTATTTTCGTCTAGGTATGAGTTGATCTTTGAATTCAAATACTATAAAATTAATGCCATGATTGCTTGTTCTATTTACACAAGTGTTTGAAAGACTTTATATTATTTGCTTTATGTTTTTTTAGATCAGAATGACAACTATTTATATTTTGTTTCTTTATTTATTAGTATAACTTCTGATTACTCATCGTATCAGTGCATCTATATATTGGTTTGACGTCGAGGTATCTGTATATATGTGGCTAATCTTCATATTTTGATAAACACTTGTGTAAAATATGTTGTGTCATTAAGAAAAGTTTCGTCGTCAATATTTATTAAACATAAATATGCAAGGAATGATGAAAGAAACCTTTAAAAAAGTTTTGATAACTGAATATTTATTCTTAATCCATTCGGATTAGAAATCTAATATTAAAATAACATAACGAGACGTACTATTCATTGGTGATGAATAATTTTCTTTTTCTTTTTCTTTTTTTTCTATTGACCGTAAAATTCGTTTTTTCTCTATAAGAGGCAATCATGTTTTTCTTCAATCAGTTTCATAATAAGAACAAACATATTTCATGTTTCTCTTCTGTTTTTTCTTTTCATCATTATCATCCAAAGAAAAAAGAAACAATATCTTTGTACAATCAAAAAGAAAAAACATAGAACATAAAAAAAAAAAAACGCAATGAGCAGCAGCATCAGTCATCATAGCACCACCATAAAACACCTCTTAACTTGTTTCTCTTTTTTATATATATTTCCCGTATCTTGAATAAAACAACGCGCATACATACATTTGAAGCAAGCCATTCATTATACATAAGAAGAAGAAAAATATATATATATGTATATAGAATATATAGAGATACGCATGAATGATAAGTTCACCGAGAATGTTGGAAGGTAAGCGGGATGTGTCTCAGATCTGTCCCTATGCCCAATAGAATCCAAAACAATCTGACAGACAGTCCAGAAGAAAAGAAAAAGCAAATTAAGTAAATAGAGAAGAAGCCTCGAAGAAAAAAAAAGAGAACACTACAAGAGGAAAGCGAAAAAAAAATGTTGGTTTTTGGCTGCATGCGTATATGTATACATAGAATTTAAAAAAATAGCAATCGAGATTTTTCGCTTAACGACTTCCATATGTATTTTCATATGAGGGCATTAAAAGCTCCCGTGCATAACCATCGTTAATAAATCGTTTAAAATCTTTTAACATAAAAGAATATTTTAAATTAATAATAAATCAGAAGAAAAAAAAATGATGTTTTACCTTCGAAACTAAGTTTTCCATGTGATGTTAAACGTAAAATCATATCTTGTATTCTATAACTTGATTCTGATCGACCAACAACAATAAGTAAATTTGCAATTTCTTGTTGGTTTAAATAATTATCATTATCAGAATCTAATTTTTCAAATGTTCGACGTAATTGATAATCATTATATTGACCTGTAATAATCGGTGATAATAATTCACAAAATTGCTCAAATGTTAACCGTCGTACATCTGATTTTGAAAAAAAAAAAATTTCAAAAAAAAAAAAAACAAAGAAATTTTTATCATACGTGGTAATCGATCAATATGTCGTTCAAATGTATCTTTACTTATTTCAAGACGAAAATGTTTATCTGGATGCATAGCATACGATGTTTGTTGACGATTTCGACGATCGCCACGCTCGAACCATTCATACATCACTAAAATTAAAAATAAATATTTTTTTAAAAAAGAATAAAAAGATTTTACTTATTTTATACCTTTAATCATTTCACCATTAACACGTTTTGTATATTGAGCATATTTTTTCACTATATCATCACGAATTTTATTATTAATTACTTGCATGATCTTCCAATCTTGTGCTTGATGGGCTATCATAGATAATAGATAGATAGAATGTGATTCTTTTTTCTTATGTGGTTTTTTTTTCTTATATGTATTTATGATGGGATAAGGTCACTTTGATAAGGAAAATCAAAAAATTGATTTTATAGGTCAAAAAAGAACTTTTTTTTCCTATTCTTGTCTTTTATTTTTTTTTATTGTTTTTCTGCTAATGAAACACGCAAAGGAAAAAATAATGATATACTCTCAAAAACCGTCTGTGTCTATTATAAAATCATTTTTCTTTTATAACTACAACGCAATCTTTTATAAAGCATACGACCGTCGTTAATAATGAAGGTCATTTTTACTCTCTTACAAGACGAGTTCATAATCCTATTAGCAAACCTTGACGTACGCTTAAGTATATTTATCTATAAATACATATACAGATACATATATGTATATATATATATATGAACTACACACCGAGGACATTGCTGGGTGTCGTTGAAATAATCACGGGTGGATGGTGATACTCCATTTAATAAGATATGTTCCGTATACCGACCGTTTGTTGTTACGACCAAACTATCGTCGATTGTGTCGATGAAGAAGAAGAAAAAAACAGACCGTGCTCGTTCCTGCAACTCATGGCATCACACAAACGCAAACGAAGCGGCGACGACACGCAAGCCAAGCAAGCAAAAAAAAAGGTAGTGTGTGTGTAACTGAAGACACAACGAGAAGGAGAGTGAGAGGAAAGGTAAAAAAAATATGAATGGAATTCGATGCCGATGTTGATGAAAGCGGTTCGAGTACGACGAATTTTCAATTCTTCGCTTTTGGTTTGTCTCTTTTTCGTTCGCTTTCCCTCACTTCACGATTGCATCACACAAAATACACGAAACTGAGAGACAGAGAGAGAGAGAGAGAGAAAGAGAGAGAGAAATGCATATTCAATATTTGGAATTTTTCAACAGGTAAGCGTACTCGTTCTCTCAAGTATGTTTGTATATTCATCATAGTGTACTGAGTTGGATGATTTGCGGTATTCTCGACTTTTTTAGGCTACACCTAAAAGAAAAACTGAATTCAAGGAGAAAAAAAGACGAAAAAAAATGCTTAAGCATTCTCTTTTTTGGACATAAATATACTGTAATAGAAAGAAAAAAAGAAAAGAAAAGAATTACGAAGGACCTAAAAAAAAGGAGTGAAATGGAATGACACGAAACCTTCATTTTCTTGGCCTTATTGCTTTCTTTTTTTCTTTTTCTCACTCCATTACCTTTATGATGATTATCATCATTAAAAAAAAACCGAGAGCCAAAGAGAGAAAAAGAGCTCAGTTTCATAACATGATATGTGAAATACATATCTTTCGAAAGGTTAACTTAATAAATGTAAAATTTTGAAAAAAAAAAACGTAATTCTACTTTTTTTCTTCTTTTGTTTTATTCGTATTTTTTTAACGACTTTTTTTATTATGAAAATTTATGCATGGAAGAAAAGATTATTGCATGTCATTAATACGACTTACCACTCCTTTCTAGTAGTAAATCACCTAGCTTAGTTGTCGTCGTGTGGTTACCAATATTGCTCACTACTACCAATAACGTATACGACTTTGTCTGCACGCACTTCAACTTATACACATACAGAAAAAAAATCCTCTTCTTTCTCTCTCTCTCTGTCTCTCTCTTTATGCTCTGTCCAGTCAGTTCATATTTGTGTTCTTTTCTTTTGTCGCGTCTTGACTTAGATATTACAACATAGAATTTTCTTTTTTTTTTGACATAGCAACCGACAATAAAATACTGTTATATGGACACAAGGTGGCAGTAATGGCAAGGTCATATCAATACGAATCATTTAAATTTAACTAATTGTCAAACAATAAAATAATCGAAATATAGAACTCGACAAAGAGTAAAGATGATGAATGAATAGAAACATACATATGGAGATATTATCAAATGTATATGTGCATATATATATATATATATATGCGCACTTCTCTGTGAACTTTTCAACTCGATATTAAGGTGGAGAGAAAAAGAAGTCCTCTCATCTCTTTTTTTTTTGCATATGCTAATAGGCACATAATTATCGATAGAGAAGAGAGGAGAGTTGCCTATGATGCTAATTGATATGGTCAGACCACCCACACACCCTATCAAGCCGAGACGAGTCTAATGTATTAACCTTTTTTTGTGTATCATTTTATGTTCTTTATTCGAGTCTTTCTTTCTTTATATTCAAAAAAAAAACGAAAGAATCTTTTCTTATTGCCATATTGTTCATCCTGTTCAGTCGAACGTTTACACACTTGTGGGCGTCTCTTATGTACTAGTACTAAGTGTGAAGGAGTAGCAATGCATATTTACTCTTCTCTCTGTCGTTGTCCTATTTAGTAAACTAATGATCATGTGTAATGGCAGAATAAACATCTTTTACTCTTCAGACAAAGCTCATCATGATCGAACAAAAATGATGTACGACTAATTTGACCTTCTTTGTCTTATTTTCTCATAAGTAACAAAGATTTCTATTGATACTTGTATATAACAGACATGTACACAAGAGCGGTAAAAGAATAATGATAAAGAAAAGTGTTGTCATAACTATTGCAAGCTTATGTATCCTGCAGATAAATATCGGCGAGACGTGAAAATGAACTTGATGTATATAGGCAATGAGAAATTTGAATAATGATCAATCTACATTATATGACGATAGTAATTCCCCTAATAAAAAAGTCATTATTTAATATCGAAACATCAATTGTAATTAAAGATGTAATTATTATTATAATTATTATTTGCTTAATTTTAAATCGAACATATGTTGATAGGTTTCAACTTTTGACTAGCATTAAAATGATCAATAATATGGTTGGCAACTGTTACTAAATGGATCGATTTTTTTTCTTCCGTTTATATGACGAGTAACTGATCGGGTTGAAAAAATATAAAGAGGGAAAAAACAACTTTTTTTTTTAATAACAATAACATCACATCGTCGAATTGCATTCGGATTAATAAGACTGCATCGTTTCTTTTTCTTTCTTACTATGGGTTTTTTCTTTACTCTTGTTGCTCAAAAACATTCAATATTGCTGATGATGTTATTATTATTATTACCGTTCTTAGTCATATTTACACAGTTACTCAAATATAACAACCACCTGCATATATCCAATACGCTTCATTCTAAGACGTAAACACATGCAGTGTTAATAATTAATGAATACATATTCCTTTTCTGTTTTGCTTTTTTTTTTTATTATATCTACAAAAATAATTGATTGGGAAACAGTCAATACCGAACACGAAGAGAGACTATAGGATGCCATGCGATAATTGCCTTACATCCATTATCAGGCAATGCACATCATGCATGATTGCATGATAGGAAAAGAAAACCTGTCAAATCATCATCAATAATGAATAGAAAATGAAAAACAACTATGGATTATCAATAAAAAAAAAACGAATAGTAATATTGATGTTGTCGTCCTTGACTAAACATAAATATACTCATACACCTATTATAAAGGATCGATTAACGTTATTAAACTGTACAAGAAACAGCGACCAAAAGAAAAAAGAAAAAGGAAAAACCTTGACTAGCTATTCAATTGGATCATTATTGACCCATTTCGAATAATGTTTAGTAATTGATCGTACTTGTAACAAAAAAAAAAAAAAAAAGAGAAAAAAAGGCTATAGTACGAAAGAAACGGACAACGCGTGTTGATCGTAATCAAAAAGTCATAATACATATGACGCGTCTGTCATTGAAGTAATTCAATCGACATTTGTGATCATAGACGACAACATAAAAATAGCTCTCTTGTATTTTTTTGTTGTTGTACATAATCAAATTTGAAATGAATACATACGGAGTACAAGGTGCTTATATTTTGTAGTATGAGAAGATTATTTACTTATGCTAATTCTTTATTTTTTTTGTTGTACTCTCTTTTTTTTTCTCATTATTGTTCGTTTTAGTAGATATAATAACGAATAACAAAAAAATAGTTAAAAAGAAAAAGCATGCGTCAGCTGCCAATTAAAATACGCATACAAAATGAAAAATCCTTGAAATTGATACGAATATATCGACTGTTTAGGTAGTGATAATGATGATGGGTAGCAGATGCATGGGCATGATATATCCCATCATTTTTCAAGGACAACTATTTTTCGAACACGTACACTTCATTGCCTAACAATTAAACACGTTCATCTAAGACAAATCATTATTGAAGGTCAAGTATGAGAAATAAGAAAAAAAGGAATTAGTTGAAGAAGGAAAACGTGCTCCTTATTCATTTTTGAGCTTCTGAATAAATAGTAATCAATGTGAGAAGAAAAAAACGAAAAGATAAAACCTAAATAATACTTTTTTCTTAAAAGTGTTATAGGAAAATAAAACAGCTGAGTAAAATATAAGATAAAAAAAAAACTTACGAAGTTTTTCATATGCTTCATTTCCATACAATGCATGATACAGCATCTTTTCACCGTCAACAACAAATTCAGGAACTTGATAGAGTGAAACAGTTGAATCGTAGGCCCGATATGGGCTCATCGTATAGCTAGTGGCCATGGGACTTGTTTTCTTATTTGTGTGTACGAATGCAATAGATAATCAAGTGATTATACTTTTTTTTTCTCTTTTTTGCCAGTAGGTAACCACACTCGTGTGTGTGTGTGTATATATATGCGAGCGATCGATGTTGTTGATGATTTCAGAATAAGAAGAGGAAAAAACAATGCATAATAATTTTTCTCGGCTTTCTCTCCGCCTCTTTCCCTCTCTCTCTCTCTCTCTTTCTCTTTTGCCGATGATGATGAGGATGTGAGGAAGGGAGCTAACACGTATTTATATATTTATACATAAAAAGAGAAAGACGGCTGCTGTTGTTATTATTGCTGCTGTGGCTGCTGCTATTCTTCCTCCCATCCTCATCATCATCATCAAATGTGTACCTTGGGTGTAATTGACTCCTTTTTTTCTCTATTTTTTCTTATAGTTTTTGAAAAAACAACAACATTTTGTTGCTCTAGTTGATGCAGAAATTTTTTTACATTAGAAAAAGAAAACCTTAAAGATGACAATCTTCAATTAAAAAAATGAAATGACAAAAAAAAAGTCTTGGAATATTTCTTCATCAAAATATTATTGTCGTCAAGTGACAGTCAAAATCAAACGTTATGTGTGTTTATATAAGACAAAATCTTTTTTTGGCAAAAATAAATGATCAAAGAGCATATTGTCAATCGGATTTTGTTGGCAACAAACTGAGATAATTATCTTTTTTATAGACGTTTTTTAGAGCAATACAACGAAATGATCTTGTTTTTTTCTTGTAATTATTCATAAATAAGATTAGATTATATATATATATATATATATCGACATATGTAATCACATCACCACAAAGATTTCAAAAGGTACCGATCGTGGTACAATAATAAAATGAGAACTAAAAAGATATCGCTTACCTATCAATGCACAATAGTTAAAGATGATTGACCGTGTCTAAAGCACGTATAGCTTTCTTGTTTAATGGCGTTGTCGCGTTTTATGTCTTGTGTAAGATGTATAAAATCGTTTGTCATCGCATCTATCACTAGCAAAATTGTTGATAAGAAAAAGCGAAAGAAAGAGTTCTTGATTCACATAACTAATCCCGTTTGGTAAGGGTGACGATTGATAAGACAATAGTAAATACTAAGATAAAGATGAACTCGAAATAGAATGAAGAAAATGAAACAGTTCATTTACTATTGACAATACTAAGGTAGTGATATTTCAACTCATCATTGTCTTAATGAGTTACAAAGATTTCTATGTAGTTTTTCGAAAAATTGACAAATATTCGATACAATCTATTCAATTTTCTTTATATAACGAGAATATTACTATTAGTGTTTTTTTTAAATTGATTTTCATACAGAATAAAGCTTATAATTATCAAGCAATATTTTAAGAAAAAACATCTGTTCATCAGTATTCAAATAGAAATATTCAATATAAAAAAAAATTAATAATCAGTATTAAGGATATTCAATGATCGTGTCGCTTTTACAAATTTGCATTTTGATGGCAATTTGAATATTTCATGTACTACGAAAGACATGTCTTTGGTTAAACATGAACTATTTACAAAGATTCAATCAACTGTTCTAATCGAATTTGACAATAGACTTACTGATTGAATAATATAGTAACGAGAATGAACACGCACTCATAAGTACTTGCCGTATAAAGAGAATTGTACTTGTAGTTAATAGTACTAATCGATATCATTTATCAGTGATTACAGAAATTGATGTGCCATTGAATAAGTCAGTCGCAGGAAAAAAAAAGATTTTTCTATATTTTTCATTATTATAACAAAATGAACAAAGCATTTTGTTTATTTAAAGTGAAGAAATAATCAAACTATTTGAATAATCATTTGAATTCGATGTATTTTCAAAATCTTCAATCCATTTGACTTTAAAATATGTGTCAGTTCGAGTATTTATTATACTTAGGATTTGTCGACAATATTTATCTAACATTGTTTTTTCATTATTATGATTTGTTCTTTCCAATTCATGACATCGAATAAAAATTTTAATATAGGGAATTTTTACTAAATGTAGCCACCACTAATGAATCAAATTTTGATATAATGATTCATCTAATTAGGTACAATATATACCAAGATAAACATATTTAATGACAGATGTTATTGCTAATAAACGTTCGAAATAATCTGGTCTTATACTTCGACGTAGCCAAAAAAGTTTAATTATTTTAAATTTTGAAAAAGGAAGAAAATGATTTGTCTAAAAATGTATCTAAATAATACTGAACTTGATTATCTTCAATTTCAAGTCTTTTTAATTTTGGCACATGAGATAAAAGTAGATTTATTATCGACTGATTTGAATTATCTTTGAATTTAATATAAAGTATTTCAATATTACTATTTATTTTCAAGCATTCATTGATACTTGCTGTTGATCGGCAAAAGTATAACCGACATTTGTAAAGTACAGGCGAAGAACGTATAGCTTCAAGTAATACTTGATTTGGTATACATGTCAAAGCAAGACATTCAATTGAATGATGTTTTAAAAAATCTATACAACTAGGCAATATTTCTCGTTCATATGCTTCAATTGTTAAAGATTTTAATCGAATAAGTTTTTTACCATGCAAATAAAGAAATTGAGAAATAAAATTTTCCATGATTTTTAGTGGATGATTTCAAGCAAATGATACGATTGAATATTGTAGTAGACCAAGGAGAGAAAATACTCTTTTCTTTATAAATTATATCACATTTTTTCAATTGAACATAGAATAAGAGATGATTGGAAGTAAGGATACGATTGAAATAATTATTTAAATTAGTAAAAGCTCGAAAAATATCATGAATTTTGAAGTAACAAAATATTGTGATCCATAATTCAATTGGTAAGTGTTCGGCACATGTCTTCATTCATTTCTGTTTTTGATTACTGTTGAATTGTTTTCATCTAAAATATTGTGGTAGCATGTAAAGTAAAATCATTCATTGAGTGATGAAAGTACATTTTCTTATGATTTTATGTTAGCAACCAACAAACAAACAATGTCGCTGCTACATTTTATCAATTTTATTTTCAATTCAATACTTAAATGAACACTATATAAAAAAAAGTATCTTTTTATCCATCCTTTTTTATAATTTCAATGGTAGTATTGACTATAAGAGAAGTGCTTGTATTTTCTTCTGTCCATCTAATCTTGAAAGTGTTATTTTCATTCTCGTTTTTATTAGTCAATATTGTACAAAAGTTTGTTCTTCCTATGCAAAAGCTTCAGGCATTGGATCCAGCTATGAGCCATTGGGCTATTACCCACAACTTGAAAAGTTATTGTCTATGGATGGTTTTGAAAATGATGACAATTGTTCATAGGTACCCATTTTGCAAAAAGAGTTTCTGACTTGTAGATTGCCTACAAACAAAACTTCTCAGCTACGCCATCGATTGAATCATTCAATAATGATATTTGTCCAGTATTTTCAAAAGATTAATCGTAAATTATAAATTTATCGATCAACAAGAGTTTGATTTAACTCTCAATATAAATAACGATATGAAATTGCTTTAAAAGAAATAATATTGAAAGTAAATATACGAAAGATAGTACAAAAAAATGTTATCATTTCTCGTTTAAAATTGATACTTCGCAATTCTCATAGAATAAGTTATTATTAGGGGCGTAACCAAGAAAAGGCGTGGTCGGATATCACTCTACCACAGATTGCCTTTACCCTATCACCAGAAAGAAGAAAAACCTAATAATTGCCATTTGTGACACACTATATTGCATGAATTTCTCTGTCAATTATAAAACGATGCGCATCTCATAGATGGCTAACTTTGAAGATTGAAGAAGGCAAACACTTGATCAAATGCCGTTTATTGCGAAGTCACACTCTGTATATAAGGATGGACGTGATGAAAATATTCATGATGATAAACAAGATGGAAAAAGTCCAACAAACATGATGAGACAGACGGAAGCGATTCAAGTCACAAGAAAAGCTGAATAGCGGAAACTCTATATGTCTTGAAGATATGAGCAGAAAAATAAAAATTCATGTAACGAGAAAAAGAAAAGTAAGAGAATATGCTGTGAGAGAAGGGTGCAGCGGGATAGAAACATCACAAGATGGATCTTGGTTACTCCGTGAGATTGCCCTATCACTCATGATTTTCTGGTTAAACCTCTAGTCTTAATGCAAAGAATTTGATTCTATTGGTAAACATATGGTTAGTTTGTTTAATCTTTAGAAAATGTCGCAATGGATAATATACTGGAATGAAATAGATACTATACAGCACTTTGATATTGTTTATCTTATTTGGATGAATATTTATTTTTTAGTTCTTAAAATTATTAGTTGACATACACGAAATGTAAGCAAAAAAATAGACGATCAATTAATATTATTGATATCTAATATATTTTTGGAAAGGTGTTCAAATTGTTGAAATGCATGACAAAGATTGCTATTATCTTTTTTTGAATCATATCTATTTGACTTATCAACAAATGTTATCGAATTAATTTGGAACTATTGTTAAGAAGGTATTCAGGAATATATTCATATTCATGTTCAGTAGTCAATTCGAGACAAAGAATATGTTGAAGTATTTTATGAAGCCATAAAGAAACATTAGATTTTTCAATTGAAAATTAAATGAGAAATGATCAAGAAAAAACCTAATCGGTGACAATAATTATTTAAGTTTATAAAAACAATGGAAAGTATCTTTAGTATAGTCAAATAAGACATGATTAATCATAATATCACCATCTATGAAGTAGTAGTCTGATTCTCACATGAGATCCGTACAGATCTCAGCTAAATTATCATGTGAATGTAGCTGAAATTGCTTTTGGATAACATAGTAATTGTAAACATCCTGTACAACATATCACTACAAGAAAACTCGAGAGAGAAGGAGTTTATCTAAGTACAATTTATTAGTCTTTTTCCATTATCTTATCATTGTTTTCTCCTATTCCTAAAATGTTTCCCAGCATGAGTCACAAATGATTTTGAGATCATCTGGACAACACGGAACATGATAACTAGTACAATAAGTGGTAACCTTCCTTATCGTGTTCGAATTGAAATGTTAACACGGTAACATGAAACGAGTTTCCGATGCTGGGTTTTAAGTAAACCCCAGGTGGTGAAGAAGTGTTTACGTGTACTTTGAGCTGTTATATCATATTAGCAGTAACTCAATCGAATCAACTGATGTAGTCCATATATTGTACTAACCTTGCCTAAGGCATATCGAAAAGGATGAATTTCGATCTAATACAATGGATACAATACGTAAAGGTGGAAATTTCTGAGATCCCTATGGATCTTACGTGGTGATAAGAGTTAAAATCTATAATTCTACAAGATTTCTACATTTGACCTCATTCTAGCAGATGATTGAAAAGTAATTAGAAGAAAAGTTCATTTGCTTTTCAGGCTTTTCACGAAGCCTGCAAAAATTTGACAACATTGATTTTGTGTTCTTTTCGAATATGATCTTTTAGACACCGATATATTAAGTTGGTACGGAAAAAATTGACGGTTTTTTCTGCAATAGTTTTCTTTACTATATACGCTATATTACAGATTCTTTTGCATAGAATTAAAAGGGAGATTGTTCTCTACAAAGTGATAGAAGAATCAATAGTTTTTGAATAATCATTCAGCAATGGTCAAGTCCAATTTGTAAGTCTGTTGTTCATAGAAATTGAGAAGATTACCGAAATTGGCACGGTATCTTTTATAAAAACACTCGTTGTTAACAAATGACTTAGAACTAACTAATCCTTCATATACCATTTCATTGAAAAATGTGTGCATATCATTCGCTGTACTTGAAAATAATTTTCGTTTCTACATAGTTTGGGTAATTTTTAAAGCGCCTTAAAGCCCGTCTAAACTTAATTTCCTTTCAAGAGCTGAAAAATGGATGAATACGTTGTCAAAGTATTTTTCGATTACCCGTTACTCTCTTGTGGTATTTTTTAAAATCCGTACCACAAGAAAAAAGGAAAAATTTTATTGTATTATAAAAATTTTTCAAACCAAATCTACAATAGATACAAAAAAATTAAATTTTATTATTGCTTACTTATATTTTATGTCCTTTTAAATTTTTACCAAACAAGCTGGTATCCAAGAACTAATGAACAGCTCAGCATTTTGTTAACATTTGTGTTATTTTTTATTGTTGGAATTTGACTTATTTTTTCTGAAATATTTCTCGTTCAAATTAACTACAAATGTGTATACTACGTGTTAGTATACAAAGTTATCATAGAAAAACTATAGACTGAAGACGTCAAAATCATGTATTTAGTAAGAAAATTGTTTTCAGAAAATCCATTAGATTGAATTTTTTTTTGATTTAATAGGCTTCTGATTGGACTCGTCTTAGTTTTTCAATGCAGCATCTAGATGTTCTGTTTCTCATTAAATATAGAAAAAGTTGTTTAAACAGAATAGCGATTCATAGATAGTGAGATTTCCTACAAGATGACATGAAATCGCCAAAGGTTGTATTCTTCTACGACCTTTTTATAGAAGTATGAAATGTATACCGAATTCTTCTAAAGGTCAGATAGACAAGGCATTTGTCTCCAAAACAACATCATCATTTAATTGTAAAAAGTTAATTTAGAACATATGCACAAGCTTTTCATAGAGTGACGTCTAAATCTTGCCAAAAACAAACTCACAATGACTCGTAAAGAAAAAAACATTTGGCTGTACACGAGCCAATAAGTCAAAAAAACTAAGAAAAATCTTTTCAAGAGCTTCAAAACACTTCATTCGATTGTCTTTTATCTCGAACGACCCATAACTAAGACAACGAAAGTCGCTTTAGAACGATATCGTAAAATTAGTAATTTTAAGGAAAGTTATCGTAATTTGTTTATAAACAATTGTTTATCTTCCTGCTAATTAATTATATGTTGATTAAAATTAAATTATAAAATTTAAAATTTAATTGTTAGTTAATATTTATTTATTCATCTAATATAAGAAAAATGTTTTGAGAAACTATTGCTCCTTCATCAGTTGATTTACTTTTATGTTAAGATAAAATTTTAGATCTTCAATTATTTAGTTATATAACCGTCTTGTCATTCCGTTCCACTATTGGAAAAAAGAAAAGAAAAATAAGAAGATTTGTAAATAATAAAGGATGTCAAATTTTATCTTAATACAAAAGTAAATGAACTAATAAAGGAGACAACAGTTCTTCGAAATATTTTCTTATATTAAATTAATAAATGAATATTGATTAACGATTCTTTTGTCAATTTTATGATTTAATTTTAACTAACATGTAATTGATTAATAAGAAGACACATAATTATTTAAAAACAAAACCAGCTCATCATTTTGGCGTATCATAGTGTACAGTCCATAGTTTTTCATGATTAGTTTCTATAACAAAACATTTTATACAGGTTTGTAGAGCATTAAACGAGAAATTGTTTGGCAAAAAAAAAGATGAATTCTCAACAATCGAAAATGACACAAATATGAATAAAATGCTGAAAGACCCAATCATTCTAGGAAAGTCGGTATTTGACTTGAGAACGTGAATTTGATTGGGAATTTTTCGTAAAAAATGTCTGTTGGCTATAATTATTAAATATTGTCTGCAAAT